ATCAAGTAATTCATTGACTTATTTAGACTAATTATAACCGGGCTGATTATTAAACTAAAATAATAAAATAAAGTATCGGATATGATTAAATAAGTATAAATAAACCATACTAGATACTCCGTACTTCATAAATAAAGGGTAGAGGGGATTAACTAAAGTTCGGATAAAATATTGATTTTGAATCTTAAATAAAAGGTGATTTAAAGGCGGATCAAGGTAGAAGAATTTCCTAGAGTATTTGGAGTTTGAGGTAAGTACTATGTCAACCAAATTTCATGTTTTTCCCATATAAATTTATTTGTGACTAGTTATTTGAGATCATTTGAGTATATGATAGTTAATGAGATTTTACGTAGCAATTGTGATTGTGAATTATATATATTTGAGATTTGAGTATTTTATATTGGGTGATATTTTGAGCATTTGAATTTACATATGAATTGTTCTTGGATTGAGATTTGAGATTTGATCTAGTTATGAAGTATCCTATATTTTGGACTATTTATGGTATATGTGAGTATGATGAGTTGGAGTTAATAATTTCATTGTGAATAATTTTGTGGAGTTCAGATTTCATATCCATTTTGATTGAGGTTACGATACTTGAACTTTGAGATTGAATTCTGATTTTTTGAGTACCCGAAGAAATGAGGATTTGGTGAGTGGTAATGACTACAAGTCTAATTTCACCAGGGATCTCCCAAAAGCGGAGCATCCCAGCTTAATTGTAGTAGGCGGTAGAAAAATCCCGACTACTCGGACTTTTTACTACCCGGAGAGCATGAAATCTCTTTCAGGGGGTGTGCACACTTAAGGTAGGAGTTCGGTTTCCATTGGTTTTTGAGGCTTTGAGGTGAATTTCATTAGACTTGAGGTGATTTGGATTATTTGATAAGACTTGATTGGTCTTGAGGTGAATTGGATTTGAGATTAAATCGGATTTGAGCTTATATTGAGTTTGAGGTGGATTGAATGGAATTGAATTTGAGATTTATTGAATCATTATATTAATTGTGAATTTTTAAAGTACAAATACTTGTGATATTGGTTTGGAAAGAATATTTGCGAATATTGGTTATGAGTTTTTGGAAGGGTTTTGATAAAGTGTTTATGTAAGTTTTGAGATGAAATTTGGAGTTTTTACGTATGATTTATGTTTTTAGAATATTTATGAGGATTTTGGATGTATTATGTATAGTTAGTATTTCGTAATTATTATGTTGGAAATAGTAATCTATATTTGAAATATTGTTATTTTTACTTACGATTGATATGGAGTGTTTTAAAAAGTTTCCTCCCAAAGGTTTTACAAAAATGTATATATGTATCAAACCTGATTATTTTACAGGGTTGGGTGGACCTTACATAGCATTTCCAACTAATTTTTGTTTCTTCGTATTTTCTTTCTATACTTTATTTGTGCAGGAATTGAGGATCATGTCGAAGTTGATTTCGAGAGCTTCCGCTAGAACACATAGACTAAAATTTATTGAGTAATTTATTTTAGTCCTAATTTTAAAGAATTGTAGTTGAACTATTAATTACGGAAAATTTTAATTATTGGTGGTGGATAGCCTATGCACTCGGTTATGTGAGAACCGAGTGTGGCGGTAACGCCCCTATTTCCCTTTGAATTTTCCGCTGCACAATTTTGATGTTTTCAAATAGACTATTATTTAAAAGTATTTTTGGGTGGAAAATTTGGGGGTGTTACACTGGTTGTCATGGAATTGATGAGCCATGACATCACCGTATAGTTCTCCTTTTTCACTTCTTTTAGCCTGAATTTCCTTGATCCGGAGCAGGTGCATCACCTGTCAAATAGTCCTCTTTGTCTTTTCCACACACATACATCATAATTGACTGAGACCATTGTAGATAATTACTACCATTGAGTTTATGGGAAGTAATAATCGAATCTGATTGATTAGGAGTGCTGACCGTGCTTCCATTGATATTCTGGTTGCTGCCATCTCCAGTTGAGAAACCCTCTGAATGTTCAAAGGTGACTCAGATAGATCCATCTCTCTCGGTGGTCATCCCATAGGATCCGAAATTGATCATTTTAGAGAATAACCACACTCTGATACCATGTAGAAATAACTCGAGAAAGTAAACTGTATTTTGTTTATTATGTTCTGCGTGTTACAAGGAGGAGAATACAGGATATATATATAGCTAGAGAAAAAATGAAATAAGGAAGGAATCCTCCTAATTAAGGTCCCCTAATAAAGAAAAGATAATTGGGGATATTTAGAGATTCTGAGATCTCTAAGATATCTCCTCATAAATGCACAATCGGGTGAGTGATTAGAACAGAACCATCTGTAATAATTTACAGAAACTAAGGGCGTGGATACTGGATTCGCCTCGTGCATGTTCAACACCTGTAATAAATCTGTAATGTACTTGTGTTGATCAAGAAAGAGTCCATCAGATGTAGGGGTGACCTGTATACCCAAAAAGTAATGTAATGATCCTAAATCCGTGATGGAGAACTTCTGTGCTAACAAGTCAATAGTCCGATGAATCAAGTCTGGTGTAGAGCCCGTGACAATAACATCATCCACATATACCAACACATAGATATACGAGGGATGAGAAGAAAAGATGAAGAGGTTGGCATCAGAAACTGATTGATGAAAACCAAGAGATAAAAGAAATCCACTCAGAGATTGGTACCACACTTGAGGCGCTTGTTTGAGGCCATAGATGGATTTCCTAAGACGACACACTCTTCCATAGCCATCATTGAAACCATGGGGGTTGTTTCATGTAACCTCCTCTTGAAGAGCCCCGTGTAGAAATGCATTGTTGACATCTAGTTGGTTTATGTGCCAGCCATGAGAAAGGGCAATGGTTAGAACAACCCGAATAGTAACTGGCTTGATGACTGTGCTAAAAGTTTCAGAGTAATCAATCGTCGGGCGCTGATGAAAACCCTTAGCCACCAATCGAGCATTGAAACGATCCAAGGAACCATCAGGCTTATATTTCACAGTATAAACCCATTTGCAACCAACAATGTTCTCACCAGGATGAACACAAGTTACCATGACCCTAGTTGAACCAAGGCGTCAAATTCCACCGACATAGCCTTCCTCCGTTCAGGTACCTGTAAAGCTTGAGAAGCACGAGTAGGAATAATATGATGAGGTAATGATGAGTGAGTGACAATATTAGCTTGTTTACGAGGACGGAGTGTCATTGGGTGAGTACGTCTGGGTGGAGAGGCTTTTGGATCATGATGGTGACCCAAGGTAGATATGGGATTATTTGTAGTAGGAGTGATGGTTGTGGGGGTGGTGTTGGGTGCATTAGGTAAAGATGGGGCGATTGGGTTTTGTTTGGGCCGACGGTGATAAGTGATGAGGACTGGTGGGTTAGAAGCGGGTGGACTGTTATGAGTCATATGAAGGTCTAATGGAGTGGGGTTAGGGGAGACTTGTGTCGTTGGGGTATGAGTAATAGGAGACGCCTTCACTCAGCAAAGTTTTACGTAGTATTTATTAAAGTGTTACTTTTATTATTATACATAATTTTTTTCAATTTTTTGTTGCGATGAAATTTGTTTTTTTTGTTGAATCATATATATCTTTATAAAAGCAATTGAAAGATGTAAAATTGGGATTTAAAAAGAAACAAGGGCACACATATTACCTCTAAATGTTTTAGGAGACAGAAAAATATGATCATTCTAAAATTTTACAAAAAGGCAACCGCACCTATCGAGATCTACAGCTCAAGTAACTGCACCGATCAAGACCTACAACTCGCAGCATCACACGAATGAATGGACTACATCATCGCATGTCTCCAGGTCATCCATCCTCAACCTACAACCGGCAACTCCGCCTCTGCTGCTCTACACCGGCGGTCGTCTTCGCCATCTGCTGCTCTGCACCGCCGGTCGTCGTCGCCCTTCGCTTCCGTGCGCCGATTTATGTTCCTTCTCCTTCTGTGTGGCGGTCATTGGGGACTGAGGAGGTGGATGAGAGTCAAACGTCGACGTCTTCATCATCCATGGAGGCTTATTTGTCGCAGGTGCTGGTGCTAGGTTTTCGAGATGGTCTCCGACATCAATCTGAGAGTCGGCCACCCAATTCAGACGATCTTCTTTCTCTTCAATTTGAACAACCGAATACAGAAACCCCTGACTTCTTCCCCATTAACTCTTGATAAAAAAAGCTTGAATTCTAATTTGTAGTTAGCTATCTAGCTTCTGAACTGGCCAACTTGATGGGAGGTGATCATTGTGTATTTTTTTTATTCAATTTGGCCGTAAGGAGAGGGTGTTGGTGCAACGGTTGGGGAGGGGCTAGGGTTGGGAAGGTCGACTGAAGAGGTGGCTGGCCGCTAGGAAGGGAGTTGTGGAGGGGGGATGTGAGAGGGGAGGGGCTGGGGATGGTGCATGTGCGGGGATGGGGTGGGGCAATGGTAGATGGCAGTGGAGGTGGGGAAAAAGTCATCGGAGATTGCGTGTCATCGTGACAGTGTCACTGCGGAGGTGTTAGTGGCGGTGTCACTGTGGTTGGCTGCGGCGATGAGGACGACAACAACACGAGCGATGACAGCAATAGTGACATGGCGATGACGCCAGTAACATTCAAAAGGGATATGAACATGGGATAATTACATGAACATTTGGTTGTCACTTTATATTAGTTACATTTTTTATCCAAATGTAAATGTTATCACATTTTTTGAAAATTAGATTAAATTTAGCAAACTCATGGAATAACCTAGTTCAAAAAATTTTTAGATTTAGCTATTTAACTGCTACTTAAAAGAACAAAATTGATGTTTGTACACACTCTTATACATACTTTTGTACATACCTATGTCTGTGAAAGTTTTTTTTTGTCTGTGAACATCGATTCATAGACAATGTTTTGCACAAACAAAATATTGTCTGTGAACCGGATTCACAGACAAAAAAAAACTTCACAAACGTGGTTGTTAAAAGAAACCCTTAGACTTCAAATAACACGGAACGATCCGTATTTCAAATAACACGGAACGATCCGTATTTCGAATCCAATGATTGGTACTCTCTCTATCCGAAAAATGCACCATTCCCTCCAACTTCACCCGTCTTTCCTTTTTACCTTCCTATCGCCTAAAATCTCGGCAAAACCCGTCCAAGCCGTCCAAATCCCCCCCACTCAGCTTTCTGCAAAATTCGACTTCTCCTCCGTCTGCTGCTTCAAATCCGATGAATACCCCGTCGGCGAGGAGGACAACGTCTTTCTTCAATCATTCGGACCAAAAGAAAAGGAATCTGAAGATGAAGCTCGACGCCGCAACTGGATTGAGCGAGGTTGGGCTCCGTGGGAGGAAATCCTCACTCCGGAAGGGGATTTCGCCCGGAAATCCCTAAACGAGGGAGAGGAAGTCCCGCTTCAGTCACCTGAGGCCATTGAAGCCTTCAAAATGCTACGCCCTAGTTACCGGAATAAGAAAATGAAGGAGATGGGTTTGACTGAAGACGAGTACTACGCTAAGCAGTTCGAGATCAAGGGGGAAATACCCGAGCCTCTGAACACCTTGTGGTCTGGCCCGCTGGTCGTCCGTCATGTGCCACCTCGGGACTGGCCTCCAAGGGGATGGGTGGTAGATCGGAAGGAGCTGGAGTTCATTAGAGAGGCGCACAAGTTATTGGCAGGAAGGGTTGACTATGGTAATTTGGAGGAGAGGGACGTGGAGAAGTCTGATGGCTTGAACTTGGACAGATATAGTATGTTCCTGAAGCAGTACAAAGAATGGGTTGCGGCTAACAAGAATAGATTAGAAAAGGAGTCGTATAAGGTACGTTATTTATCAGTTTTTTTCTTAGTTGTTTATACTTTATGCTCTGTGCTTCTTCTTTGTTATGAACAGTCAATGCAATTTTTGAGGTGATTTTCACTATGGGGTAATACTTCTTACATCCGACCCCCTCACCATAGGTGGGAGCCTTTGCGGCACCGCGGTAATGATGATGACGACGTTGTTGTTTATACTTTATGCTCTGTGAAATAACCTTTTGTTGTGATTGAAAAAGAAAGGACTGTGTCTTTTTTATGATTGGACATTTGGACACGATTCCTTCATTGTTATACTTTTAGCTGGAGTAATTTAAACAGATATGTTATTAACCCGATCTTGCTAGAATGATACATCATCTCTGTGTTTGAGTTACTCATGATGTTTTCTAATTCATGTGTAGTATGACCAAGACTACTACCCTGGTAGACGGAAAAGAGGAGAGGATTACCTGGAGGGAATGGTGATGCTTTTTTTTTCTTATTGTAGTGATGATTCAACAATTTTCTTTGTCCATATTTTCACACATATCATATTTAACCCTCCTCTCGTTGTCCTTTGGCAGTATGAACTTCCATTTTACTACCCAGGACAAGTAAGAATTCCCCTATTCTGTTTGCTAATGTTTAAACAATTGAACTTAATCGGTACAAAATTTTCTCCTCACAGATTTGATTGGCAATAAGTTATTTTATTGGTATTTAAACAATAAAATACCTAAAGAGTATTTAAGTGACATCAGTTCGGTACTGGCTATTAATATGAGTAATGTGCGTTTTAAACAAAAATCCCCTTCCAGGCCACCTCAGGGTTTTGGAGGTCTTTGGAGGAAAGACTTTGAGGTGTTTAGTGCCTTGGTCTATCAATTTACTATTGGGAAGTGTCGAATAACTATAGAATAGGTCAAAGTAGTTGAGCTTGTTTCTATAGGCTAAGATTAAATTGTAATCAAATATTGTAATCTTATCCCTTTTTTGTAGGATTAGTTGTTGTATTGTATTACAATAACTGATCAATGAAGGATGTTATTATCCTCGGTTCAATCATATTTACCTTTATGGTATCAAAGCCGCTACCCTAGAAAATCATGGTCGATCCTCTAACTAACTCAGAAAACTCGAGTTAAATGAGTGATCCCACTCACTCGATTGGCTCTTCCTCCTCCAATTCCGAGCCTATTCAAGGCTTGACGATAACTTCCCATAAACTAAATGGCAGAAACTTTCTTCAATTGTCTCAATTTGTTAAACTTTTTATTCAAGGGAAGGAAAATTTGGTTCTCTCCGGTGTTGTATCCCAACCACCAACTTCCAATAAACTTTTTGATAAATGTGAGGCGGAAAGTTCAATGGTGATATCATGGTTTATGAACTCCATGGAACCCAACGTGGGCTGCACTTATCTCTTTCTTCCAATTGCTCATGATATTTGGACGACTGTGAAGGAAACCTATTCTGATGGGTAATGCCTGTTAATTATTTGAGTTCAAAAGTCGTCTCAGAACAGCCAAACAAGGAGAGAAAATTGTCACTCAATTCTACACAAATCTTAAAATTCTGTTGGAGGATTCTAATCTTTATAGTGACTAACTGACTATGAGCGGAGTTGTCCTGCTGACAATACTATGTTCAAAAAAATGATGGAGAAGGAGAGAATTTGATTTCCTTGCAAGTTTAAACGAGGAACTTGATGAAGTTAGAGGCAGAGTGATGGGCCGTGATCCATTACCAAGCACAAGAGAGGTCTTTGTTGAAGTCCGCCGTGAAGAAAGTAGGCAGGCAGTAATGCTTGGTTAGGAATTATGATTCAACGAAATCCGCATCAGAAATCTCCGCCTTAGTGACTTACAGACCAAATCAATTTTCCTCGCTGCCACCACCACGGGGTAATCGACCTTTATGTGAGTATATTGTCACTGTGTTGGTCATGTGAAAGCAAAATGTTGGACGCTGCATTGAATGCCTGAAGATATTCCACACTCCCGATCTATCAAAGAGAGTAAAGGTCTTCATGCGTCTTCCGAAGAAGCCAGTGCATCTCAACCTAATGAGCAGTCCTGTTTCTCCCAGGGGCAGCTAGAGCAGTTGTATAAGCTCGTCAATTCTCATCACCAATCTTCCCCAGATCCTAAACCCACTAATTCATCTACATGTCCTGCCCAAACAGGTATAATTCCATCTGCCTTTACAACCACAATTGCAAACTCAGACTCTTGGATAATAGATTAAGGAACAACTGATCACTTGATTATTAGCTCATATCTAGTCTCTTCATACTCTCCTTTAACTGGTCACCATAAAGTAAAAGTTGCAGATGATTCCTTCTCATTCATTGCTGGAAAAGGATTCATAGTTGTCTCTCCATCACTCACTCTTGTTAATGTTCTTCATGTCTCAACACTCTCCTGCAATTTTATGTCTATCAGTAAACTACCTACGGAAATTGTACTCTTAAGTTTGCTGCTAATCATTGTATATTTCAGGAGCTATAGTCGACAAAGATGATTGGCAATGCTAGTGAACTTGATGGATTCTACTTCCTTGACCAAGACAATAGTACTAAAAGTCAAGCACATTCCTCTAGTTTTGTTGAACCTTTCTTTTGCTAATGAAATAATGTTATGGCACTATCGTTTAGGCCACCCCAGTTTCACTTATTTACACCATTTGTTTCCAGCCTTATTTCGAAATAAGATCATGTCTTCTTTTCAATATGAAGTGTATCAATTAGCTAAGCATCATAGATCAATTTTTTCTTCTATAAAATATATTCCATCTAAACCATTTTGCTCTTGTGCATAGTGATATTTGGGGACCAATACAAGAAAAAAATCTTACTGGTACTAGATGGTTTATAACATTTATAGATGATCACACATGAACAACTCGGATCTATCTCCTAAAGGAAAAATCCTAAGCTGCATCTATATTCAAACAATTCCACTCCATGATCAACACTCAATTCCAGTATAAAGTTCAAGTTCTTAGAACAAATAATGGTCGTGAATACTTTAATTCTATCCTAGGGGATTTCCTTACTCAAGATGGCATAATTCATCATAGCTGCTCCTGTGTCAATACCCCCTTACAAAACAGCTTCACTGAAATAAAAAACAAATATTTATTAAACGCTGCTCTTTCTCTCTTGTTCTCTATGAATGTTCCTAAGAAATTTTGGGGGAGGCCATTCTTACTACATATCTCATAAATCGCATGTCAAGTCGTGTCTTAGGTTTCGCCACACCCTTACACACTCTTCAATTCTGTTTAATAGGTCATTCCCACCAAAGTGTTTGGCAGCACAGTGTTTGTTCATAATCATGCTCAACATTGAACTAAACCTGACCCGAAGTAAAAAAATGTCTCTACCATGGGTTCTACCCTACTCAAAAGGGGTACAAGGTTTTTGATCCACACAAGGGTAGAGTTAAAGACTTATAGTAAGCATGGATGTCACCTTTTTTGAAAATATTCCTTTCTTTCCCAAAACTGATCTTCAGGGGGAGAAAGAAATTATACTTGAAGATCAGCAATAGGTCTTACCTAATCCGGTGATTCCTGCTGAAACTGATCATGTTCCTGTAGCCAAAACACATTCTCCTGATACACCGTGTCCCTAAACAACTTCCCAACCTATTCTTCATGTTTACTCCCGTCGTTCTCGTCAAGGGGTGGCACCAACACCTTTGCTAGCACCGTCAACATTGGATCTGCCTATAGTTTGTGGTAATTTTCATATTCTTGAGTCTGATTTTGTTCCCATAACCGATTAAGATCATGATCCCCTTATTCCTTTAAGAAAAGGTATCAGGGAATGCACAAAGCACCCGACTATTAATCATCTATCTGATGCTAACCTTTCCTCTAGCTATAGAACCTTTACTACAAGTATTACTGATGATGAGATTCTGAAGTCTATTGGGAAGAGGCAGTTCTGGAAGAAATTCATGCTCTTAAAAAGAACAAAACATGGACACTGATCAAACTACCTCGAGGCAAACATACAATAAGTAACAAATGGATCTTTACCGTCAAACACATGAACACTGATCAAGGCACAACCGGTCACTAGGAGCTTTACACAAACATACAGAATAGACTATGAAGAGACATTTGCTCTAGTGGTAAAGTTAAATATAGTAAGAGTCCTACTTTCCTTAGCTGCAAATAATGAATGACCCTTATATCAGTTTGATGTGAAGAATGCATTCCTCAATCGGGAATTAAAAGAGGAAGTTTTCAAGGAAATACCATCGGGTTTTGAAAATGATAACACAGTGGGCAAAGTGTGCCGGTTAAATAAGTCATTATATGGCTTAAAGCAATCTCCAAGGGCATGGTTTGAGAGGTTAGCAAAGACCATTAAACAAGAAAGCTACACTCGGTCAGCTGATCACTCGTTGTTTAACAAACACTCCTCAAGTGGAAAGAAAGTCATTCTCATAGTTGTAATGACAGGTATGATGTCGCAGCACTAGAGAAACTGAAACAACTCTTAGCCACACATTTTGAAATCAAAGACCTTGGGAATCTAATTTTTTTTCTAGGAATGGAAGTGGCTAGGTCAAAGAAAGGGTAGCTCTTTCACAGAGGATTTGCTAAAGGAGACAAGCTTACTTGGATGCAAACCAGTTGATATTCGCATTGATCCAAACCAAAAGCTTTCCTTAGACGACAGGAGCACCCCAACAAATACAACCATGTACCAAAAACTAGTAGGGAAACTCATCCATGTCTCTCACACACGGCCTGACATTGCCTTTTCAATTAGCCTGGTTAAACCAGTTTATGCATTGTCCAAATGAAACTCATCTTAAGGTTGTGTACAGAATCTTACACTACCTAAAGGGAAGTCCGGACAAAGGTATTTGGTTAAACAAATGAGAGCATGAAACTTGAAGTATTTAGAGATGCTGATTGGGCGGGAAAATTAAGATATTGTACTTTCATGTGGGGTATTCTTGTCACATGGATGAGCAAGAAACAAGATGTTGTATCTCGCAGTAGTGTTGAAGCAGAATATAGAGCCATGGCCTCAAGTGTTTGTGAACTCATTTGGATATGAAGAATCCTTTAAGGAAATTAAAGAGGAAATTGAGCAATCAATCCTGTACATCATGACCATACTAAGCACATAGAGATTGACCGAATTTCATTAAAGAAAAGCTTGTAAGTGAGAAATTTGTATGCCTTATGTCCTTACTCAAGAACAATTGACAGATGTTTTTACAAAGGGTCTATTCAAATCAGCATATGAAGAACTTATCAGCATATGAAGAACTTATCAGCAACCTGAGCATGAGTATGATTGATATCTTTGCTCCAGGAGGAGTGTAGACTAACTATAGAATAGGTCAAAGTACTTAAGGTTGTTACTATAAGCCAATATTAAATTGTAATCAGATATCGTAATCTTATCCCTTTTTTGTAGGATGAGAGTTTGTATTATATTATAAATATACCAATCAATGAAGGAGGTTACTATCTTCGGTTCAATCATATTTACCTTTAGGAACTTTCTCAAAATAGGATTAGACAATGTGTTTTTGATGAAAGCAGAAAATTAAACGATCAACGGTAGTTATGAATGGTTCGA